AATTAAAAGAAGGGTGATAATACCCACCCTCCCACCTCAGAAAGATGTTGAAATATTAGGATAACATCATGCACAAATTCTACAAAGGACAATCAGTCATCCATGCTCAAACTCGGATTGTTTTCACCGAGGCCTTCCCCACCAGACCCATGCCTGGATTCTTATCTCCACTTAGCACAAACCTGAAGCCGGGGAGGGGAGAGACAGTGATCACCCAGGGAACAAAACCAAGTTTCCAAATCCTCCTTAGGTTTTTCACAGTAAGATTATTTTCTCCCTTTCAAATCGAACAGATCAGGATACACATCGTACAGAGACCAGGTCTCAAGACATGTGATGAATACGGAGAGTATTAATTTCCATCCAATGATGCTGTCACCTCCACGGCCATCAGTCCTTCAGGGGAGACGTTTGTCACCAGACGGAGCCTGGAGGAACAGTGATAGGGCAGGCAGGCCCCAACCTGCTCAAACAGCTTATTACTGATTCTAGCCTGCACCTTGCCAGAGTCGGCTGCCCCCTCTGGACCAGCCATTCCTTTAAGGGGTTATGGAAATATCACCCTTGACAGAACAGGCAGGAAAAAAAGCAGCAGGATCATGCAAAGGAACAAGTGCTTTGGGAGGAAGCCCAACCTGGGGACCTAACAGCTTGACTTCAAAATGGCTTATGCTTCAGTAGACCTCTCCAAGAACTCAGACCAGACACCATCAGCATTAGGAAAGCCCTGAGGGAGGGAAAAGAGGACCTGGGCTGGGGGGAGAGGAAAGGAAGGGAGAGAGGGAGAGAAGGAAAGAAGGTAGAAAAGGAAAAGAGGAAGGGAAAAAAGAGAGAGGGAAAATGAAAGAAGAGAGGGAGGGAAGAAAGCTAGGAGAGATGGGAGGGTGGGTAGGGGAAAGGAAGAAAAAAAGAAGGGAAGGAGGGAAAGCACGGAGGTAGAGAAGGGAAGGAAGAATAACACTAACAGCACCTTTATGCATATTTTTGGTTTCATAAGGAGTGAAAGAAATTAAGTCTGCATTAGGTAAACTTAACAGGAAGTGGGGGGGCTTCCTTTTCAGCGTCAGTGGGGAGCTTGTGTTTCTGCTTGGTTCAACATCACTAACTGCACCAAATCGCGATTTTCTAGAAGATTGAATAATTGTGAAACCATTCTTAGTCTGGTAATCACCATAGGAACGAAGGCAGAGAGAAAGCGAAAACTGTCCACCCCTGACGGAGGCCAACAGCCGGGCCGCGGCGGCGCCCTCCTTAGCCCCTGGCTACCTCCCCCCGCAGGTCGGAACACACGGGCCACGGACACAGGAGGCGTGTTCCCCGGAGCTGCTGCAGGGCCCGGGGGAAGGACCCAGGACTGCCATTGAGGATTGCTTCTCAGTGACTCACGATGCTTAACGGGCCTTATCGCCTGTGGAAAGCGGCTCAGGGGAAGCCCAGCCTTAATGCAGCTTGCTGGGAGCCAATGGGGCTGGTGCAGGGGGGGCCCCTCCTCTTCTCAGAGCTCTCCGATGCCCCCAGGCTGTGAGGGTGAGGGGAAGCCGGCCATCTCTGCTGCTGGAGGACCAGGAGCAAGGTCTCAAAAACGGCCCCTGGGAGTCCAGCAGAGGTTTGCTTCCAAGGGATCCCAAGTTTGCGAAGGAGCCTAGGGTTTCAGGGTTGACATTACGTCAACAACAGTCACTGGGAGTCAGAGGCCATGGGTTCAAAAGCTGACTCTGTTCCTTATGATCTAGGGCTGGGAGGCTGCACCACAGTGGACAGAACGCTGGGCCTGGACTCAGGAAAACTCATCTTCCCGAGTTCAAATGTGGCCTCAGACCTCTACCAGATGTGTGACCCTGGGCAAGTCACTTAACCCTGCTTGCCTCAGTTTCCTCATCTGGAGAAGGAAATGGCAAACCACTCCAGGGTCTTTGCCAAGAAAACCCTACATGGGGTCCAGAGAGTCAGACAGGCCTGGACTTGCTAGCTGGGTGACCTGGGGCAAATCACTTCTTCTCTGGGCCCGTTTCTTCATCTGTAAAATGGCGGAGGAGAAGGCAGCTTAAACACCATCCCACCGAGGCCCCTTCCAGCTCTGTGATCACCTAGACCCGATCTCCTGGGGTGTAGTCTGGCCTAGCCAGGTGGGTGATGGCAGCCAATTAGAACAGCACCAGCACGGCACTTCTATGAACTTGGAACCCGCCAGCCAGAAAGGCTTCTGGCAGTCAGGATTTCGATTCTAGAGAAAGACTGTGGAGGCAAGCACTGTACCAATGACTCCTGCACAAGCCATGTTTCTAGATCTACTGGAGCTGCTTGGAATTCCTCGGTGGCTGGCTGTGAGCACCACAACTACAAAAGTCTGCCCCGAGGTCCCCTCTGCTCCATTTCTTAGGGCCGCCTGAACGGTCTCTGGCATGGCCAGCGCAGCTCTCTCTCTACATTAGCACCCTCCCTGCCCTCCCAGCCCTGGCCGAACTGGCCACGTCCCATTGTCTCCTTCCCCTTGCGATCTCTCGTGGTGCCGCTCAGACACTCTCTGCTGCCCATCACAGCCATCCTGACCAACCCACCAGGTTCTAGGGCAGAGATTGTGTATTGCGTCTTTTCCAAACGTCCTCTCTCTCCCAGGGATTAGTCTGCACACAGCAAATGTTTGACAAGACTTTATTGGAAAATCATAAAGTGCCATATCAATATGTCCCATCTGACAGCTCCCCTCCCCCATAACGCACACAGTCCTTGGACGGAAGGCTCGCCTGACTCACTGTTGCACGTGGCTGCCGTGCTGGGTGGATGTGCACCACAAGGCCTAGTGAAGAAAGCAGGCCCTGGAACCAGGAAGCCCTGGGTTCAAGTCCCAGCTCTGACACAGGTAGGCTGTGGGAGCCTGGGAAAGCTAGTTCACCCCCCAGTGCCCCAGACAGCTGCAGGGGTGCTGACCGACACTGGTGGAAGGACTTTCCTCATTTGGCAGTTCCCCATGTGAACTGAGGTCCGGCTCCAGGTCTTTTCCCCAAGAAAGGGCTCCAAGGGGGGCTGGGGGTAGCAGGGAGCATAAGAAGAATGACCATGGGGTCGGAACAAAAGACCACCCAGAGCACAGCATCACAAGAATCCCATCAAGGCCGTCTCCTCAAGGGCAGGGGCAGGGGGACGGGAAGAGGCTGTGGCCACCGCCCTGGGTTATTTTGGGGCAAGGGGCACGCTGGGAGTGGCAGGGGCAGAGGCTGGTGACAAGGCCATGGAACGAGCAGAATCAGAAACCTGGAGGAAACCAGGGAGAAAGGCTAGAGCCCAAGGTGGCCACACTGTCGCCCCTCTAAAGAAACCATCCGACTCTGTAAGAAATGAGTGTTTTCATCTGCAGATTTTTAATAGTTTTCTATTTCTTAAGACCCTCAGTCCACAAAAATCAGACCCACCATGATAAAAGTTGGTGGCAGTCTGGTGGGCCTCTGGCCGCACGTCCCCTTGGCTGCTTCCAGAGCCAGTGATGGAGGGCAGCGCACGTAAGAGGAGGGTCTCTTCTTCCAACTCCCCATCCGTGGGGAAGGAGCCCCCAGCCTCGGCCTTCTTCCTCTCTCCTTCCTCTGTCAGGCTCCCTCTCAGCACCTGCGCCCACTCTTCAGGCCCATGACTGTGAAGGTGGCCGCAGTCAGCTTCTCATAGACTAGGAACATGAGGGCAGCCGTGAGCACGGTCTGCAGCAGCTTGGCCTCCAGGCCTTTGTAAAGTCCCATTACTCCAAAACGCCTAGGAGGAAACAGGGTGGGCAGGTTGGTGCAAAAGCAGCCTGGAAAAGGACATATTCCTGAGAAGAGGACGGGATGGACGGCACCAGGGCACGGTACCCTACGTTCATCCCCAGGACAGAACCAGCCATGGAGAGACATCACGTCCAGCTCAGACTTTCTGTTGCTGAAATCTCAGAGCCTACTTCCAATCTCCTTGAAATGCAGGAGATCAGCTGGGTAGGGATGACCCACCAGTCCCAAAACTAGGAAGCAAGGAGACGAGGGGGCCCTGACAGGATCTTACTGAAGAGGACACAGACTGTTGGCAGCTGGAGGGCCTCAGGGATGCCAAAAGCAGAGACCAATCACGGGGCTATTTCAACTGCCTCTGCACTGCCAAAGAGCAGCTGAAAGGGGATGAAGCTTCCAGCAGAACAGAGCTCAATCTCACCTCCCTGGCCCCTCCAGGCACCACTCAACCCAACCTGGGGCAAGGCCAGCAGCCAGAATCCAGAGGGAAAGAGCTAAGCCATCTGGAAGTGACTTGGCAGCACCTGGAGGGCCGCCGCGGGCCTCTGGCCAGATGTTTGACAGGACGGTCCCACCAGCCACCCCCCAGCTGGGGCACATACACTGTGTGTCCTGGGACAAAGCCATACTACCCCCAACTGTCCAGTCTACTTACTTCCCTGAGACTCAGCCCCCAACCAATTCTACAGGAAAGGAAGAGAGGCACTAGGCGAGGAGGGGACCACTGGTTTTTTGCTGGCTGGGGAAGGCCAAGTGACCGAATGCACCAGGCAGTGCTTCCTTCTACAGAGCTCCAATAAACAGCCTTGGCCCCTAAGCTCTTGCCCTCACTTTCATGGTGATGTAGGAAAGGGAAGGGAGAGACAGAGCGGCTAGAACCCCTGCCCAGGTGGCCCCCGCCCCTCAGGAAAAGCCAGGACTAGAAGACCCCTGTCTGTCTGGGACAGCAGCAGAGATTTCACAATCAGACAGTAAGGAGAGTTCTTGCAGATTTTTTCTTGGTGGGGGCCCTGAATTTAAGTCTATTTTCTTTAATAATAAATTTTGAGTGTGTAAATGAACAGAGAAGCCATGGGATGAAGGCCATTCCCACCCCCCAGACACTGGCAGAGGTCTCCTTGTTATAGGAGAGGACAGGGAGGGGCAGGGAAGGACTCACCTCACTCGCTGGTGAAGAAGGTAAAGAACATTCCGAAGGCTTCCTAATGTTCTGTTTTCGGGGTTCAGCCTGTGACGCCCAAACTGGGAAAAGGATGCAGACAGAGACCCCCCCAGCAATTATTTTCTGAGCTGCACTCACCTTCGCATCTGCACAGAGAGGAGCCGGGGGATAACGCAGTGACAACGGGCAGTCACGAAGACATTTTGAATGGCCTGTCACCTCCTCAGTGAAGGGGCAGACAGAGCTGGGAGAGTCTCACCAGCCCCAGCTAACCAAGGCAACGATGACCATCTCCCCTTTCTTCTGCTCCTCCACCTGAGGCTAATCAGCAGACAGCTGGGGGACCAACCACGTGAGTGTTCCCATCAGCGTCTCTGGAAGCCACTGGACCGAGGGCTTCCCTCTTCCCAGGGCCCATGAGGCATGGCAAGGTGCTCCCTCCAGCCACCCAGAAGGCAGGCCCTTCACATGTTCTCTGCGCAGCATCTGTGGCTGAGAAGCAGACTTGGGGGAGCCCCTGGCAAACACCTCCAGGCTGGTTCTTAGCTCGGGGCCAACCACAGGGTTGGGCCTCCCCAAGCGTGGGCTCCACTGGTGCTGTCCAGGCTGCTAGGGGCCATCGAGGAGGACCATGACCAGGCAAAAACATTTCCGCTAAGTGGCCACTGTGAAAGCTAAGTATGATTGAGAATGAGCTGAGCAAGGAGCAATCCACCAGCATTCTGCTTTTTCCCACGTGGAACTCAAAATGAATCGACTTCATTGAACCCTAAAACAAAGCTGTGACTTCACAAACCCCTTCAACACTCCTAGCTAAGCTGGAGAGATGGCTGGAACCTGGGCTCCTGTGCAGTGCCTGTAACTGCCAAGACTCAGCTCCTGGATCACCTGCTGTGTCAGAATGAGAGGGGAGTGGTCGGGTCCCACCTCGCTTTTCTTTCTCAGTTGCATCAATGGGTCCTTCCTCCACCATCCCCAGCCATCACACTCATCTAGGCCTTGGCAGGGGGCCCCAACTTCATCCTCCTGGGGCCGGCGTGGTGATGACCCTCTGCTGTGGCACCAGGCACAAAGGCCCCCAGGGGTCCACACTGTGCAGATCTGCTAACGGCCACCCTGGCCGTCCTCGCAGAAGTCAGAAGAAAAGGGGGCATGGGAGCAGCATGAGGGGTGAGGGAAGTGACTCTTTTCTGTTATATTAACAACCAACTATTAAATCAGCATTGAGGCTTTTTCTTTCTACTTTCTCATTCAGGGACAGCCCCTGTAGGTCATTCAGCCAGTCTCCCAAGGACAAGGCTGACAGATGAGACCGGCCTACCCCTCAGGCACCCGTGGGCTCTGTGACCTTGGGCAGGACCCCACCCAACTGGAAGACCTTACTTCTGTTTGGAGTGTAAACAGAAATCTAATCTGGGTGAATTCTGGTCCCCAAGTGTTAAGCCCATGTCCTTGCACCACTCCACTGGAGTTTAGGGTGACTCAGCTCATGCAGGAGAAAACCATCCAAAGTGGTCTGAGTAGAAATGGATTCCTTTGTCCAGTGGGTGGGAGGCCGCTGAGTCTCATGATCAAGGCTGTTCTCTGCAGGAGGGGTTGAGGGTTTTCAGCCTACCTCCTTATTTGACAGTCCAACCCCTGGGGTCAGCTCGGTGGCACAGTGGATAGAGCACTGACCCTGGAATCAGGAGGACCTGAGTTCAAATCTGGCCTCAGACACATAACACTCACTAGCTGTGTGACCCGGGGCAAGTCACTTACCCCCTCATTAACTGTTCACCAGTTAGGGTTGATTTTCAGCTTTCAGGGGCACTCCCTTTTCCAAAGGTATTTAAATACTCAGTGATCTTCATGGTTTTGTCTTTGGTTACTGAGAGAGACCACTGTTCATCAATTTATTGATTAGCAGCCAACCTAATTCATAAATTGACTGCTAATTACCCAGACACTGTCTCTCAAGCTTTTCATTGTCTCAGGGGCAATGCTGCAGGTTTTGAGAACTCTGTTCTCAAAATGTACAGACATCCCCATTTTGAGTCTTCTAAATCGGGGATTTCTGAAAGCCCATACGCTCAAGAAGTGGCTCAAAGCAAGACTCCGTCCAGTCTAAGGGAAAACCACCCAGTGAAGACCACCCAGAGAGACGTGCTGAGCGGGCGCGAGACACATGGTGCGTCCTGCTGCTCCTGGACATGGCTGCCCTTCAGAGTTTCTGGGGAGAGGTGGGACGCTTCTAAACGCTTGTAAAAGGCAAGGTCATGGTTCTGACCTGTTTTGCCTATTTTTCCCCCAGTTAGTTGTTTCTCTTCTTATTTTAACTCCACTGATTTTGATTGCACAAGAACCTTTTCACTTTTGTGTCATCCAAACAGTCCATTTCAGCTTCTGCGTTCTTCTCTACCCCCCTCTCCCAGATGAAGCTCCTCTGATTCGTTTACAACATGATCTTTTTCATGCCAAGCTCATGTGTCCATCTGGGCGTGTGAGCTTCTCGCCAGACACAGCGGGACGTGGGGGGGACATGGGAGACAGGGCCTTCTGGTTTTCCCAGCAGGTCTTGTCAAACAGTGAGGCCTTAACACTCCCAGCTGGGGCTGGGTGAGCCCCTGCTCCCCAGAGCTGCCCTGGGCTACGGGTAAAAGTCTCCCGTGACAGGCCCATACTCACCCTCAGAATGGACTGCACCATCTGCATCGGGTAAGTGACTGTGGTGGCAATGGCCTTAGCAATGGCCCCAATGACAAACACGTCCAAAGAAGAAAGCTGCCCAGCAGAAGGAAGAAAACAGAGTTGAGCCTTAGAAGGACCAGGACCTAGAGCCCCCATGCCACAAGCCACAAGGACCAGGACCCATAATCCCCACGCCACAGGCCACAAGGGCCAGGACCCATAATCCCCACACCACAGGCCACAAAGGCCAGGACCCAGAGCCCCCATGCCACAGGCCACAAGGGCCAGGACCCAGAGCCCCCTTTGCCCTCCGCCTCAAAGGCCTGGCTCCCGCACATGGCCCGTACCTGCACTCGTCTCTTCAGGAGCTGCCTCTTGAGCCCCTCGTAGAACATGAACTGGATGGCCGGGTTGAAGACCAGCAGGAGGGAGGGAAGCGTGCCGTTCCACAGAGCCATGACCCCTTCGTCCCGCATGATTTGGTGGAAAGCATCTGTGTGAGAGGAGACAGGAAGCTCCAGAACCAAAGGGGCAAAGGGGAGAGGCCCTGGGCAGAGCGGCTCCCTGCAGGCAGCTTAGGGACCAGCTTTTCAGAAAGGCCAGACATGCTCCTGCCCGACGGTGACAGAGGCTTCGTGAGGTAGCAGGGGGGAGCTGACGTCCAGGCCTTCCTCTGATACCCACGAGCTGTGGACCTTAGGCACGTCCTGCCTCCAATCAGGGCCCCAGGAAGCTCTCCGAGGCTCTGTACAGGGAAAGTGCCAACCTGCACTGGCGAAGGGCATTTCCTCTTCCTGCCAAGGAAATCACTGGCCCCATCCTTCTCCGTGCCTTAGCCCTGCAGCTTCAATGGAGATACCAGGCCAGCACACCCTGTCACAGAGATGCCTGCCCAGAGGCTGCCATTCCCAGGCCAGAATGCTTGGCCAGCGCCCCTTCCCACACAGGGCAAGCACGCTTCATTCCAGCACAACTCCAGGGCAATAGGCCAAGCCTTGGGAGAGGTCCGGCCAATGCAGGAAGCACGCCTGTCCCTCCTCCCCACTGGCTGTGTCCCTCAAACTCAGAGACTGGGAGGAGACGAGGGACAAACGGGTACCCCTGGGGCAGGGCCATCAACAGGACGGGGATGTCAGAAAAAGCATTCCGCTGGAAGCGGGAAGCTTTCACCTGGAGGCCCTCACCTAAGATGCCCTTGTAGTTGGTGGGCACAATGTCTTCATTTCTGAACTTGGCCCCCTGGAGTTTCAGCCGCGTGTTCACCACCCAGAGCGGCGTGGTCAGGAGCACGTTCACCACACCTGGGTCAGGAAAGGAAGCAGAGGCAGGGCTAAGGGAAGTGTCACCACGGACCTGGCTACCACCTCTTCTGCCATGGAGGACAGAGACCAACATCAAAGCGGGGCCTGGGCCTCTCTGGGCTGGGCTGGGGGGTCACATAAGCCTCTACTGTTAGAAGTGATTCAGGAGGGAATGTGGCTGGTGGGAGACAAAGAGACTGCAGAGAGACAGAGACAGAGAGACACAGACACATGCAGAGACAGAGAGTGAACCATTAACAGGACTGTCTCTGACCACGAAAACTGGGGTTTCTTCATAGGAAAAGCAGGCACAACCTTTTCTATTCCTCAAGTGGTGTGGCAGCGATGGGCGCTGCCCAAGATGCAAAATGGCATCTTGACTGTGGGCTGTTTCAGAGAAAAACTCCCCCACTTCCCAAATGAGGAATGTGAAGACAGGCAAAAGTGACCCAAGCAGGCACCTTCATTGCTCTCGGCCTCTGATTTAACTGGGGGTCAGTCTCTACCAAGACAAACCCGAGACACAGTGAGAGCCAGGGAGGGCACGGTGGGGAGAAGCCTGGCTCTCAGGAGAGCTCCCTCCCACACATTCACATGTCCATTCAGACAGGCAGGCAGCAAGCAGTGGGCTGGGGACAGCGTCACAAGCAGTACGCTCCGCTTGCTCCTTACAAGATTCAGGAGGGGCAGGGACCTGGGTCCTACAGGGAGGCCTTGGGCTGGAACAACACAGTGAGGCCAGGTGCTTCTCTTTTAAAAACACATCATCCCAATTTAACATCATCTTGAGACTTTAACAGATTCTTTTAAAGGACAGTCCTGAAACAATTAACAGAAGGAGAGTGACGTTTACTAGGGCGGGAAGGCAGGCCTGGAGCATCCACTCGGAGGGATGCCAACAAGCCAGCACCAGCAGGCAGGACCCCAGGGAGCAGTGGTGTCCCTGAAGCCCCAGGACCCAGATGGCTTTGATTTAGGAATCTCAAAGCAGGCGTGCAGGGAGCGAGCACTGCTTCCTCAAAGAATGCCGCAGGGAATGCCCAGGAGACAAGTTCTATTTCCTCTCCTGCTGTACAGAATTACAAACCTGAGGCTGCTGACTCAAGCCCCAAGAGCATGTGATAACAAATGAAAATTCCGGTGAACTGACCCGAGCCTGTCATACTCCAGGTTTGCTGTGGCTCTATTTGATATCCTAGGCCTCCCCTGGCTCGTAGGGGTCATAGTGGCCTGGGGGTGACCTTGGCCAGCCTGCCCACCTAGGAAAGGCTTCAAGGATGGACTAGCCATGGGCCTGCCTTTGGAAAGGCTCAAGCACCAGGCAATGATTTGTTGCTATAGCAACTCTTTCACAAGCTGCCTCTGAGAGATGTGCACACACACCTTCCCAAACTCCTGGAGGGCAGGGGCTATTCCATTTTTGTCTTTGGGCCTAGATTGCGTAAGAAATGCTTCCTGGCGTACTGATAGGCCAGGTACAGGTGATTCCCTCCCTCCTCCTCATAACAAAGCCCATCAGTGCCTCATCAGACAACATACAGGACATTGTGGCCTAGCAGCCTCCAACCTCTACACAGATTTAATTACGCTGCATCATATGCCCAGAATATACTCTATCCAGCAGGGGCTGAAGTCAATTAGGGATCTCTGCTGAACACTGCTGTTCCCGGAGAAATAAAAGCTAATGAAATCTCCCTCCCTCCTCTCAGGAGAGAGGCTGGGGGCTAAGGGGTCAGAACACTGTGTACGCTGTTAAATGAAGAGCTGTATTTGCTAGAAGGGAGAGTTCAGTTTTGGGGCAGGGGGAAGGGACCAACAGAAAGGAAGCCCCATCCCCAATGAACATGAAAAGCCCAGATTCCTCCACGGAGTCAATCAATCAACAACCAAGCCGCTGAGTCCTGGGGCTGTAAGGGAGGAGCTGCCTGCCCCCCCCCTTCAAAGAGTCAGGGGTCTGCACTTGCCACAGAGCAGGAGCAGTAGCCACGGATAAACTAGACACCCTGAGGAATGGCAGCTCTAGAAAGAGCCCAGTGCAAAGTTACAGGGAAGGGGAAAAGGACCGCCACGAAAAGAGGAAAGGACTTCTGGCAGCCACAGGTCACATGTGCTCCGAGCACGACCCCACATTTGCCCTGGCTTCAGGTCCCAGACTTTCAGAGGGAATGTAGTGTACCAATTGCTCTCACCTCTCTAGCAAATGCCCTTAACAAAACATTAATTGTGGACAGAGCTCCAGCCTTGGAGTCAGGAGGACCTGAGTTCAAATCCAGCCTCAGACACTTGACTCTTACTAGCTGTGTGACCCTGGGCAGGTCACTTAACCACAACTGCCTCACAAAAAAAGCAAAAAAACCCAAAAATTAATTAACTCTGGCTGGCCAGTTGCTCTCACCTCCTAGACACTCAAAAGGGAGCACGCTGGTGGGGGCTCACGAACAACAGTACGAAGAGCCACCTCTCAGCTCCTCCGGGTTACGTGCAGCACCCCAAGGGGAGGAGTCGGCCACCCTCTGGGCCCCAGCCCACCAACGCACAGCAGAGGAGAGGGCACTACACAGATGATAGGTGGGTCTCGGTGGAGCTCTGGAATCCTGCCCACAAGCCGTCTGATCTGCCTTAACTACAGGGAAGGAGCCCCAAGAGAAGTGGGCCGTGCCTGCAAGGCCCTGCTGACACCCCTGACGTACAGTGTGAAGAGACCTCCGGACCCAGCCTGCCAACCTTCTGGGCCAGAGGGCTCACTGCTGTGGGTGCGAGGCACAAACCCAGCATCAAGGAATAAATTCCCAAGTTTGATGCAGAGTTTGAACAACAGCCGGGTTTCTGCTAGTCTTTGGAGAGAACAATGCCTGGTTCCCACACAGTTTATTATTATACCATGACAAGGCTCCCAGCAGGAAGAGCAACATTTTCTCTAATTACTTGGAGAATATATTGGCAGTAAGACTGAAAAAACCAAAACAAGAGTTATTATGAGAAATAAAGAGGCTCGAAGCAAAGAACAGTCTTCCACTTCAACAACTGCACCTCCTCGCCCCCCCGCCCCCCAGTCTACACATTTGTAGGAGCTGGTTGGATCAGGTGACCTCGAGGGTCCTCCCTGCACACCAGCCCCTGTGTCTGCCCTCAGGAAGTCCAGTCTTACAGTGGAAAGGTCAGAAAGGATCAACGTGGCAAGGCAACGTGGTTGGACTGAAAACATGATTTCGTTATTTCATTTGCCTCTATTCTACTAATCAACACTGGGACCATCTCCAAGCCCGAAGACTCTCACAGCAGGAAGAGACTTAGCTTAAACAAAGACTCCTCCAAAGCCAGGCTTAAGGCCCAGGAAGGTTCAAAGACTCCATAATTGGGGGGGGGGGTGGAGTACATAGTCAGGAACGCCTGGGCTGGAATCCTGCCTCCAACATAATGAGGTCTTGGGCAAGTCACTTAGCAGACCTGTGCCTCGGTTTCCCCACACTTATCTCCTAATACTTTTGTGAGGTTCAACGAGGCTTTCCTAACCTCGAGGTGCTAGAGAAAGGCCAGTTATTATCACTGGAATAAAAGATGCACTTCTTTGAAGGAGAAAGGTAGCCTGGGCATTCTCTTGGGTGTCCTGGAAAGGGGCATGTTTCCAATGTGGCCCAGTAGGGCTTTCCCCAACACCCTCTGGGTCCAGATGCTAGAGGAGAGGGCGCTACACAGCCCCCAGGGCCCACAGGAGAGGGCATAACCCCCAGCCAGACAGAGAAGGGTCTCCACAGCTCAACTCCACAAGCTTGATTAAAAGTGTCGGGGGGGGGCAGCTAGGTGCCACAGTGGATAGAGCACCGGCCCTGAAGTTAGGAGGACCTGAGTTCAAATCCGGCCTCAGACCAAACACTTGACACTTACTAGCTGTGTGACCCTGGGCAAGTCACTTAACCTCAACTGCCAAAAAAAAAAAAAAAGGAGAGGCCAAGGCCACCAGGAGCATAGAGACAGGACAGAAGGAGGAAGTGGCTGAGTGTGACCCTGGCAGTGCTGAGAAGCTGTCAAATCTGGGAGAGTCCCCGAAGGGGGCCTTTCCAGTAAGTTCAACTCCCACTGATGAAGCGCAGCAGAAATGGGACTCTAGGCCTGTCCTTTTCTCTTGTGCTTCTGAAACTTGACATTGCTGCAAAGGACTATGGGTAGATGAGATTACTGTCACTAGATACTGTCCCCTGAGGGATGATAGGAAAGTGCTTTTAGGCAGAAAAACATAATCCATTCTCCATTCAGATGCCCCCTTCACTCAGAATATTCTAACCCAATGTTTTTTTCTTTTTCTTTTTTGAGGCAATCAGGGTTAAGTGACTTGCCCAGGGTCACGCAGCTAGTTAAGTGTCTGAGGCTAGATTTGAACTTAGGTCATCCTAACTCCAGGCCCAGTGCTCTGTGCACTCCTTGAGGGTCTGGTTTCTCCTCATCTTCTTTTTCTTTGCCACCCCTCACCAAGTCTAACACAGCTCCTGCCACAGTCCTCCCTCATAAGCCTTTGTTCCCTGCAATCATGCGATGGGGGAATGTGGGTGGGAACGGTGTCCTCATGGCCTCTCCCCGAACTTTCCCTACGACTGCCAGGATGCCCCTGGCTCTGCTCTAGCGCCTTCCCTGGGCCTGACGTCTCCAACTGAGCCGGTCTAGTGTGTCTGTACCCAGCTGTTTACTGGCGCTCTGTTAGACTGTGAGCTCCTGGAGGGAGTGACTGTGTGTTGGGTTTCATTGTATCCCGATGCTTTGCATGGTGCCTGGCATACAGCCGGTGCTTAATAAATGTTTGTTGACTTGGCCAACCCAGTAGAAGCCACAATCCCTTGGTCAGCACTAATGGGGGCTAAAATCTATCCTTCCAAGGCACGTCCAGAACATCACTGATGCTTGAAGAACGTGTTTCCCTCAGAAGTGCTTGTTACCTGCAACAAATCCAACCACCAAGTCCTTTCCTGTTGTAGAATGTTGACCTTTGACCCAGACAGCTTTGAGGCTATTAAAAGCGTAGAAATAGACAAAATTGGAGCAGCAAAGGCTGGAGATGACTGGAAACCACCCTCGGTACGGCGCCAGGCTGGGAAAAAACACAACGAAAACGTCAGGAACAAAAATCATCAGAAACGGGTCCCACATGGCCCGCTCCCTGCACCCCCCCCCCCCCCCCGAGCTAGACAGAAGTCAGATATTCTACGTGTGGGTGTGTGTGGTTATTTCTGGCAGCAATCAGGATTAAGTGGCTTGCCCAGGATCACACAGCCAGTAAGTGTCTGAGGCCAGATTTGAACTCAGGTCATCCTGACTCTGTGCACTGTGGTGCCACCTGGCTGCCCCCCTGAAGTCTTATATTCTCAAAGAGGCCGAGCACCTGGGACAAGGGGCAGGAGGGTGGGGGTGGGGGGCTCCACAAGCTAAGACAAGTGTGACTCCCACCGCATGGGGCTAGGATGGACACCTTGGCTGACGGCCAGGCTGGCACTGCTATTTCCCAAAGGATCCTGGTTTTCAGCAGAAGCACAGAACACCCGCCTGCCGGATATATCTAGTGAGGGGCTCAGGCCAGTAGCTGCCCTGCAGAGATCTGGCCCCACCTAACGGAAGCTGGGTATCAGCTGCGCCAGCTACAGGTTGGCGCCTGGAGAGGCTGCCCTGACAATGGGGGCAGACGGGGAGCCACTGTCCTCCAGGGCAGTCAGAGCTCCTCCTCCCTGCCGGGCATGCTTGGAGGACCCCTGGGCTACACTGCCTCTCACTTACAGGCCTTCCTCTTTAATGATCTCCATCAGCACCATGTGTGTCGTCTTGGATTTCCGCTTCTCGTCAACTAGCAGATCAAAGAAGAGACTGTTAGGATCCCTGACTCATATGCATTCATGGGCTCCCCGGCATCCTGGCAATCTCAACAAAGAGGGCAACCTCTCACAGGTTGGTCAGATCCCCCCAGATTAACACAGGGAAGAGGAGCCCAAGGACCAGAGCAGAACCGGGTAGGCAGGCCCATGGTCTGCGACCACTGGAGGGAATGCTCCCACAGATGGAGAAATCCCAGGGCTAGGTCCTCCAGGTAGGAGGCAGGCTTTATCAGGACTGGTCATTGTACTGACCAAAGCTACTGAATTTTTTTAAGCTGTTTTCTTTATCAGAGTGAGTTCTTAACCTGTGATCTAAGGACCCCCAAAATTTCAGGGGATCTGTGAACTTGGATGGAGAAAAAAGCTACATCTGTAATTCATTATAATTGGTTTCCTACAGAATGCTATGTATTCTATTTCATGAATTCAAAAACATGATTCTAAGGAAGGGTCCAAAGGCTCTGCCGGATGGTCCAAAACAGTGGTCGCCGCGTTAGCTATCAACCGTCGTCCTGATCTGCTCCCTTCACTCTGCACCAGTTCATGCAAGCCTTTCCAGGTTTTTCTAAATCTATCCTCTCTTGTCCATTCCATTCATGTATCATTATGCGTTCAGCCATTCCCCAACTGACGGGCAATCAAGCAAGCCAAACCAATTCCTGTTCTCAAGTGGCTCACATTCTGATGGTGTGTGTGTGTGAGGGGGAACACACACGCGCACACACGTATGAATACATATACGTATACGTCAGTAGATACTTCCTTTTTGCTACACCAAAAAGTGCTGGTTTCTTGGCACAGATGGGTCTTCTTTCTCCAATCTCTTCAAAGCATATGCCAGCCTTGCAGTGGTATCCAAGGGTCAAAGGGCATGCACCGTTTAGGGGCTCTGGGGGAGAGCTGCAAACGACTTTCCATCTTTTTCAATGCGGCCAATTTGAAAGCATGCAAATTAAAAAACCTGCCAGTTTCCTGAGAATTAAAGTGGCATTCCTGTGAGGCAGGAAGGGCTTACTAAACACAAAATGGTTATTTCAAAGCTACATTGTTCTCCTCAGCTGTCACATACGTCTTGACGGTCTTCCAGCATCTGTAACAAAGGCTGGAGAACCAAAATGGTGGGGATGATGGCCAATGCTGGGGATCAGGTTGCCTGTCCAGACCTACAGAGGACAGGGGAGCGGGTTTCGGGTTTCTACCTCCCCTCTGTGGCGTGTCCCCCTGGACTCGACACTGACTTTGCTCCTAGAGGTTTTCTGGTGGTGCTGAGCTCAGAAATGAGTAGGCAAAACAAAGGACACCCACAGACACCCTCATTTCCCAACAAGCACCTGCCAGGAGGCTCGATTCAGCAGATTGGGCCTGACCTGTGCCTTCTGCTCTAAGTGTCAGGCATGCAAAGTACTGGGTAACCCACTATCTCTGCATGTGCCTCAAAACACTTTTCACAGATGTGAGAATCACTCGTGTAAGAAAGCCAGTGAGTAAGAGGAAGAAAGGTGAGAAAGGAGCACAAAGATGCCTTGCCCTACAGTAGGGCGCTCAGTCCTGGGCACCATGTTTGGGGGCCGCTGGGGACCGTGAAGATGAAGAGCATGTGAGGTAAAGGGAGATGTGAAGACTGACGGAGACCAAGAGGGCTGGCTTTGAGTGGCTGAAGGGCTGCGCTGGGGGCTCTTCCTGCTCACTGGCCACAGGCCCTGACAGCTAACATCTGGAGCTAGGGGCGACAGCAGGTCCCTCGAGGAAGCCGTCATCCATGTGCTGCTCCCAAGAAGGAGGGAGTGAGTGGCTGCCGGCCATCAGGCAAATGAGAGCACGCTCACCCCCCAACGGAGAGATTTACTCACCCTGAAGTCGAAGCCTGGCGGTGTCCAAAGGGAAAAACACTGTCATGGCGGTCACGCTTCCCTGTGAAAGTGGAAAGAACACTTAGCTCACAGTCTCACAAGGGGAAGCCCAAGCCAGAGCTGACCAGGAGCACCTCCTCCCCAACAAGGCGGCCATCCTAGCTGGCCTCCCCAGCCTCAAAAGCCCAGGCTCTAGGAGTCTCTTAGCACCTCTGGGAATTATTATTACTTTTTTTTTTGGGAGGGGAGACAGGCAATGGGGTTAAGTGACTTGCCCAGGGTCACACAGCTAGTAAGTGTTATGTGTCTGAGGCCAGATTTGAACTCAGGTCCTCTTGAATCCAGGGCCAGTGCTGTATCCACTGCGTCACCTAGCTGCCCCGCATTATTTCTTCACGTCACACTTCTGCTAAGAATAAGATGAGGAAAGACAACAACATTTCTATAGCACTTTAAAGATTCACAGATGGAAGAACTGATTTTTCCAAAACAAAAAGGAATCCATGACTATGTGTTTATCAAAACAGGTCCTAAAAATGCTGGGGTACATCTAGGAGACCCCTGGAGACGGCATTAATGCAGGGGCTGGGCAACTGAAGCCACACGGGCCAATTTTCCATGCTACCCAGAGAGGCACCGGGCAAGAGTCAGCAGGAAGAAAACCTGTCTTTTCACTCTTCGTTATTTATTCAGATTGCCTTCCTCAAGCAAGAAAAAACAAGGATTACAGAATTTAGAGTTAAAAGGAGCCGGAGGGACCATTTAGTTCATCCCCGTCATTTTAAAGATGGGGAAACTGAGGCCCAGAGGGAAAGCTGGCTTACCTAAGGTCACTTGGCAGAGCTAGGATGAAAATCCAAGCCTTTTCCCATTCAGTTGATACAATTTAATTATTCAGCCTTATTTTCCACAAAAATCTTGGAAAAGTGTTGTCCAAGATTTTCTTTAAGTCACTGTTTGGTGTCGCAAAGGAAAACACACAAAAGCTTCTGCTGAGGAATAAAACGGAACCCAATAAACACTTCTCACAAGACTCCTCGGTGCCAAGCTCGGTGTCAGGTGGTGACTGCTATCCAGGGGTTCATTCACGTCCAACTTTGCATGACCCCATGGACCACACTGTCCATGGAGTTTTCTCGGCAAGGATGCTGGAGCGGTTTGCCATTTCCTTCTCCAGTGGATTAAAGTAACCACAAGTGAAGTGACTTGCCCATGGTCACAGAGCTAGTAAGCCTCGGAGGCCACATTTAACTCTTCCTGTCTATCTAACTCCAGGCCTGGGGCTCTACAACTGCTGAGACCTCTAGCTGCCCCAGGTGTTGATATGGGGATAAAAAAAAAAGACACTGTTTCTGTGCTCAAGAAAATGAGATATGTACAAAGATACAAAGAATACAGCGTACAATGAGGTAAAGAAGAGATATGACCAAGAGGCATATGGAAATTCGAAGAGGAAGATGCCACTTTCAGTGGGGGACATCTGTCCCTGAGCTGGGCTTTGAAGGAAGAGGAGGAGTTGGGGGGGGGAGGAGAAGAAAGAGCATGGCAGGCACTGAGGATGGGCGCAATGAATGCAGGAAGGCAGAAGGTGGCAGCTCTGGTTCTGAGAACAGCCAGCCAGCTGGTTTGGCTAAAATGCAAGAGAAAAGACTTAGTAGATAAGCTGCAGCCAGAACTCGGGGGCTAAAAACAAGTACAGTGTCAGGTTACAGACTCGATATACTGCCAAAATATCAAATGTACCATCAAGTTTAGGCCTGGGCATCACGTCAACTCAAGAAACCCTTATGGAGCATGTGCCCCGTATGTGCCAGGCGCCAGGCTGGAGATGCAAAGTCCCAAGCCCAACAGCTGCCAATGTCAAGAAGCCTGTCTGCCACTGCTCCACTAAAGGAAAGAAGACGGGCGCAGGCATGGATGGGCAGCTGGGCTGAAGTCAGAAGAAGAAGGGCAGAGTGGTGTGCCCATCCTGCTAAGAGGCCAGATCTCTCTCAGGGCACGTGAAGTGTGAACCAAAGGGTCCAGGATTTAGAGGAGGAAGACATAGGTTCCCATCTCTGACACTTTCCTAGTTCTGTCTGATCCTGGACGAGTCCATGAAAACTCTGCGCCCTCACTTTCTCCGTCTGTTGAACGAGGATAGTAACTCCTAGGGCTGTTTCCAGGACCAAATGAGACCATAGCCCTGCTTTTAGTTTCTTCCTTTTTCAAAAAAGGCTTTTAGAAACTTTATACAACCTTGAGGTTATTATAAAATTCAAATGAGACTATGATGCTTTGTAATCATAAAATGTGAACCAAGTTCATTCAACTGTGAGTTTTAGAGATTACACAAGAGTAATATGATGGCTTTGGAGGAAATGCCTACAGTCTTTTACTATTATTATTATTATTATTATTATTATTATTATATTATTATATTATTATTATTATTATAGTAAAGGTAGAACTCAAGAGTTATTTATGAGAAATCTGAAGCCAGGTCCCACACGGAGGCCAGGAGGAAATAGCTGGCTGATTTCTGGTTAGAGCTCTCCTGCCTTCCTTCATTTAAAGACTCTCTGCTTTGAGAACCAGTTTTTGAGAACCTCAATTTGTTTCTTACAAACCCCCACCCCCCACTGATGCACACAATGGCCTTCAAACCAGAGTTTTAAACATGGGTTTATTTACAAAAAGGGAATGCGTGATAGCTGTATGTTTAGGCGTGTACATTTACATACCTTGGAGACACACACACACACACACACACACATCACACAATCCACTTTTATACACAGGCAGGCCACCAACAGGCATTTATTAAGTGCTGATAAGTGCCACGCACTGTACTCAGCATTGGGGATACAAATACAATCAAAAAGCATAGCAGTGCTGCCCTCAAGGGACTTACACTCTAATGGAGGAAAGCTAATATGGCCCAAAAAGGCGCAGAAAAGGAAGAGGTGGTGAAGGTTCCAGCTGAGGGCAGTGAAGGGGTTCAAGTCTGGAAAGGCAGAAACTCAGCTGAGAAGGAAAGAAAGTTGGCCAGCCTGGGCCCTTCCCCAAAGTGCAGTTCCAGGGAGGAACCCCGCAAAGGGAGAAGGGGGCTGGTATGGGGGAAAGATGTTCTACTGTGGAAACCCAGGGATGTACAAGAGCTAAACACACAGACTGTACACACACACACGCATACGCCTTCCCCATCAACAAACGGCTCGCCCCCAAGCCAGCACACAGGAACAACCAGCTCCCACAAAAATGCCTAGTCTCCTCCCAACAGAAAGGAAAGTGAGGCAGGCGAGCTGAGAAAATCCGCTTAGTCCTCCAACAACCAGCCCCACAGAGACACAAACACAAGCTCCCCAAAGTCACCCAGCTGCTGGGATCATTAGCATCTGGAGCCCCGTCCAGTCCAGCCCGGTCACTTCCCAGAGGAAGCCACTGATCCCCACAGAGGTGAAGCAAATGGGTCGCACCCAGAGCTCTCTGGGCTTCTCCCGCAGGCTCCGGGATCCCTGTGACACGCTTTTCAGAACCCCTCATTTTACAAACGATGAGACCGACTCCAGAAGGCCCACGAGCCAAGCTGTGCCCTTGTCCTGGCTCAGAAAGTCTCCAGAGCTGAAAGGGATATCTTGTTTACAGATAAGAAAACTGAAACCCAGAGAAAGGATCTGACCTACCACAGCAGAAACTCCTTGAGGGCAGGGGCTGTCTGTGGTTTACTCCGGCTTCTAGCCCAATCCCAGTCTAATAACGGTTAGGTACTTAAGGTCTGCTGAGCTGCATTGTACAGCGCCCGATGGAAAGTCTTCTGTAAACGTATATAAATGTCAGCTGTGGCTACCAAGGCAGGACAAGCATCCACTCAGCTCATCCATCAGTATTTCTACCTCCAGCAAACACTGCAGTGAGAAAGGATAGTGAGCCTGAGTCAGCCATCTGCAGGATGGCAAGAGTGGGTCAGACTGCCTTTGGGAAATTACAAAGCTCCTTTAATAAAGACTCTGTACTTCTCCAAGAAACAGAGAGCCATCTTTCAAAATACCAATATTCTACCAGTGCTAAAGTGTGGCCATGAGTCTCCCAGGAATTAAGCAAGAATATCCCCCAGAGGGCAATGGTGGGTGTGTGAGCAGTTGCAACACGTAAGAAGAAGAACAGGAGCAAAGGATGCCTGAAAAAGAAGACGGGCTGGTCCTGCGACACAAAAGAACGGCACTAAATAGAGGGTTGGCTGGCGTGCTGCGGCAGCACGTTCAAAGCATCGGGAGGAATCGAGGAAGGCGCCTTAACAAGCGTGGATGGTCTGTGATCTGCACTGCTGAAGGGAATGCCCACGCTCATTATATCTGAATATTCTACTGGTACCCAAATAAATCCGTCACAGCCTGATTCACCAATGGCCAACTAGTCTCGGATGGCCCCGAGGATCTCCTGTCTAGTCCCCGACCATTCCAAGGTCCCTGATTATTCCAGATTCCTTCCTGTCACCACCACTCATTCTTGGTCAAGATGCCCGCCACACTGCACTGTTAAGATTCTCTTACGGGAGCTCTAAAAAATAACCCACCACCCCAACAAGGTTACTGTGTTTTCTGCAGTTATTAGGAGTAAAGATCAAGGTGGTATAGCAGAAATAACACTGGCCTGGAGTCAAAGGATCTGGGTCCAAATCCTGGCTCTGCCACTTACTAGCTGTGTGACCTTGGGAAAGTCATTTCACATTTGTAGGCCTCAGTTTCCTCATATGTGTTGGATTAGATGACCTTTTTGGCTCTAAATCCAAGATTCTATGAAAATTTTCTTTTGGGGGGAAGATGGGTTCTTTTACTTATTGGCATAAAAGTACTGCTAGAATTTTCAGATTTTCAATATACAGTATTTCAGTTACATTACGATATAGTCTGGAAACCTAACCACCATTTAAAAGGTTATTTCTTATGGCAATTGTTTCTAATTCCAAACAACTTACAAAAACCCATTTCAAACACTGCCGGCTGGAGGCTGGAGAGGGGGAGCTGGGGAGGGGGACACAGCCTTTTTCAAAGGCACTGATTCAAGAAGGCCTGAGCTTTC